TATTTGTTTTCAAACATATTTAAGGAGTTCATGGTGAAATTATAAGCCCCAACATAATGAGTTAAATGAATAAACTTGCACACCTGAAAGCACAACATACAACATACACCTTTGACTATGAATATTTGTTCCAACTCTCATGGATAGGTAGATTTTTATATCATTTCTCAGTCAATGCGCTTCCTCCCCACTGATTTCCCACTTTTTTAAGTAAGTGCAATTCATCCTCAAGACTATAGGGAAAAATTAGGTCCTAGAGCTTATTACATTCTTTAAGCAATTTCCTATATGCTTACTCTACTTCAGAAGTATCCATATCCATGGTGCATGGATAGATTAGTTTCCCAGTCCCAATGCCACTTAAAAAATTGATAGATAGACTTGGGTTGATTAAGAAACAAAGACTATAGAATGTTCTCCTGAACTTCTATCATTTAGATAGAAAAATAATCTATTTCCACAGAAAATTATGTATTTAGTAGCCCCAATTGACACACGAGCTTTTCATAAGTAAAAAAGTAGAATGCACCAAATAATTGATCAAGAGAAAAAACCACGTTGCAGCAAGTGGCCCTCTAAGTCTTTCTCAAGTTGAACTTTTTCTTTCTTCGAAGTCAGGAACTCTAGTTTTAATATGCCTACTTCATTCTTCAGTCTTTGTATACTGTGCTGTAACTATTCTTCTCAGCGTACTTTTGATGTTCTGTCACTATGTGGTGGAGAGGAATGCACATTTTCTAATCCAGTTCTATTCTTTTACAGTTACTTGCACTGCAATTATGATATAATGGTTTCTGGAACAAGTTTCTGTAACAATAGAAACACCATGCTGTTTTGTTTACTCACATGCTTCATTTCTCTGGAGGAGGTAAGTCACAAACTAAAAGGCTTTTTGGATCACTACACTGAGGCACCACATTTCTGATGTCCAATTTGCAATTAGTGTTGTTTTCATCATGTGCCTATAACACTCTTGGTCTTCTTTTATTTCAATGATAACTACTTCTGGGTTCCTTGCTTTTGTATTTTCTGTGTCATTATAAAAATTCTATTGCTCTGTGTTAAAAACATGTACAGTGTCTGGTTTGTTATTTATTTTCATTTTTAAAATGAAAATCAGAAGGTGACTGGCAAGCATATTCCAGGGACCCAGCATAGAAATGAAATGGAAAGACATTTATGAGACTGAACTATTTTTGTTCAGAAAATATCTGGAATACTACACATAGGAATATTCCAGATGCATTCCTTCCTGACCATCATGTATATTATTTTTCAAATTAGAGGGTATGTTCTTTACATTTCTTTCTTCCTGTAGTGGCTCTTCCTCTGAACAATCCAAAGTTTTGGATTCTTCACAAATTTTACTCAATCTCTGCTTTAACTTAATTGTGACGAGTTTTAAAGTTTTTTCCACTCTCATTTGCCTTGTTTGATCCACATTTTCTCCTATTTTTGCACATAAAGGAGTCCTGCATATAGAGATGTATGCTCTCTATTACAGCACTTGTTCACTTCTGTTTGTTGAGACATTTTTGCAAATGCAAAAGTGGAAGATTAATTTGCTAGTTTTGTTTGTCAGATGTCTTTTTTGTCAGGGTGCATGTTTTAAAGATAACTTTGTCATTAAATGATCAAGTATGGAAAAATAAAATTAAAAAATAATAAAACTTTAACTGTTAAACTGCTTATTCTATGTTTATCTACTCCCAATCACTGGACTGTAATTAGTTAAGTTAAAACTAATTTACATTAGCCTAAAATAGGGGAAAAATATCAACCATCAATCTTAATTTTGTAACTGTTTGTTTGGACTAAGATTAATTCGTTATGTGTTCAATTTACCAAAAATGAATTAAAAGGTGATTTGCACTATTACAAAGGCATCTTAAGAAAATTTTATCTCAGTGTATCTGAAATAGTGACACTCAACAAACAGTGCACACCTGAGTGCTTTTTTTCCAAAGATTACTAACTGATGAGTAGGCAAACTTTTAACAGAAATCAAAATCAACACTAATCAGAAACAAAGCCAAATTCATAAAATTTAATTCAAACTATAAACCGTAATATGATAGTGTTATGTAGGATTCTATATAGACTATAGTCTTAAGTCAAGTTTCAATATATTCTAAAGTCCACTAATGACAGTGATTTAAAAAAATTTTAACAATAGTTACAGACTTCCTATACAGAAATAAGTTAGAAAGTTACTGTTTGTACCCTCACACCAAAGCTCCCATTCTGCAAGTCCGGTTCTCGTGACAGGCAGTGGGGTTGACTTTATGACCCCATTCTCTCCCTGAACACAGATACTAAAGTCAATTAAAATTTACAATGGAGAATACATTTTTAATCATAGTATTAGTGACCAGTAATATATAAAGTTGCAAATTTTGAACCATTAGCAATGATTACTCCTTTAACATGAACCCAAGTCAGCAGCCATCACTGTTAAATTGTTCATAATTTTGACTGCTTAAAATTATAATTCATTATTTGATATTACCTTATTATATTAGGATGTTATAAAAATGAACAGCAAACAATATTTAGGAACTTTTGGCTTCATTTTCAAGAGAAAAGATTAGCTATAAATCACTACAGATTCTGAAAATATTTTCAGTTTTATAACCAATTAAAATGTTTTAAAATTAAATATTAAATTATAATAAACTGATTCTAAAAGGCAAGTCCAAAGGTAATTTCATTTGAACTATGTTATGTTACCAAAGCAAAGAAAACCAGAAATTTGAAATTAAATTTTTACAAACCTGTGGCTGGTTATTTTCACATCCTTGAAGCCTGTCTTGCTTTCCCTCTGATATCAATTTTAAGTCTTGTTCTGCTCAAAAATCCATATATTTCATTAAAATGAATTACTTAGAACAGTTAGATAAAAGTTATAGTCTTTATAAACATGAATAAAAAACATATTTTTCTTTTATAAAATGAGAGTTTAAATAAAGCTTAATCTCTAGTGGAGTATCTGCTTCTTTAAAAAATACTTCTTTAAAAAATTCTCCAAAACTTCAACAAACCACGTGGCAAGACACTAGATGTCACCAGAGTCAAGCCATACATTCATCTCATAGATTCACTCACAATTTTATTCACCCATCATCAGTGAACAAAACCACCAGAAACAAAAAAATTAAAAATCCAAAAGAAACAGATAAAGTAATACTGTATATTTTCCTTTACTTTATAATAGTACCTTTGTAACAATACACTAAGCCTGTTATTTAGTACTAATAATTTCCAATATGACTTTCTCTTTACCCCTTCATCAGTGTACACTCCGTTCTTTATAACTGAAATGTTTTCCTCTACTATTCTGACAAATTTCTATTCATCTTATAAGACTAACACACCTATGTGATGTCTTCCCTGATTCTATCTTTCCCTAGATAAAACTTGTATATAATGTAAATTTCATAAGACACGCAGTTAAGGTGTCAAAAGTGAGGTTATATTTCAACAGACTATAACTAAATTACAAAAGTGCACATACTCCAATGACAAGAAAAAAAAAGATCTTCAATAAGAATAGCAATCATGACCCTGAAAGGATAAATGTCAAAGATAATGGGTGAGTGGTGTGGCGTATCGTTACTGCAACACATCAGATTCATTTATACCATTATCCTACAAGTATCCATCATATTCAACTATTTGTCTTGTAATTGAGGAATTACACAGTTGTGATGAAACATAAGCTGAACATATTCAATTCTCATCAGATAAACTGTTCCGAATTCATCAGCTCAGATAGTTGTAGAATAAGTTAATATGAATATACATCTTTTTAAATTACAAGGTGAGTTACTGCTATGCGTAAATTGATTGTATTGTGTGGTTTGCCCTGTCTTAAAGTTTCTTGATCCACTCATGCAAGATGGTATATAAAACACATCACAAAATAATGTGTGAGCAACTTTCAATGTGTAAATATTGCAAAAAATAAAAATTTCACATTCATTGTATTAAGCTTTTATATTTCAAAATCAGTACAATGTTTACTAAAAACATTAGTTTTGTTATTCGAGGAATAAATCCTGTACTTTTTTTGTTTCTGCAACTACTGTGATTGGGTATACCATCCTAGTCTCTCAAGTACTTTTATGGAACAGCTATCTAATAAAAAAAATAGCTTTCTTAATAAAAAAAAATAGCTTTCTTAACAAAAGCAGTAAAAGTTCTTTAGTTCAAATGAGTTTCATTTGATTATCTAATATAATTTTAACTTATATCTTTGATGTGTGATATAAAGTACAGCAATGAGTTGCTATGGTTTACCCCAATTACTGCACTCCCTCCTCCTTCCAGTAATTTCAAGGGCAGTAATAATCTAATGTCCTGAGTGCAAACATACTGAAGCCGTCTGAATTAAGTTCTCTCAAGTGTCCTCATCACTAACTCCAAAACTACGGAGATAGCTTATTTCTTTCCTCCCTCATTCCCACTTCACAGTCTCCATGTCTTTGGAAAAGTCTCTCAATGTGTGGTCTTTCTTCTTCTTGCATATACCTCTCATGGATTATGCCCACTTCTTTCCTCTTCATTAAGCAGTAGGATCTCACATCAATAATTTCTATTTCATAATTTTACCCTCTGGCTGGAAACATATTCAGAAATAAAAGCAATACAACACTTTCCCTTGGCCCTTTTATGTCTTGAACTGCTATCCAACAGCAGTCCACGGGCAAACAGGTATATGGTTGAGCGCTCAACAGCACTGATCACCAGAGAAATCCAAATCAAAACAACAGTGACAGATCATCTCACCACCCCAGTTAAAATGGCTTTTATCCAAATGACAGGGTATAATGAGTGCTGATGAGGATGTGGACGACAAGGAACCCTCCTACATTGTGGGCATGTAAATTACTACAGCCACTACGGAGAATACTGTGCAGAGTCCTCAAAAAACTAAAAGTAGGCCAGATGTGGGGCTTATGCCTGTAATTCCAGCACTGTGGGAGGCCAAGGCAAGAGGATTGCTTGAGCTCAGGAGTTTGAGACGAGCCTGGCCAATAGGGTGAAACTCTGTCTCTACCAAAAATGAAAACAATTAGCCAGGCATGGTGGCATGCACCTGTGGTCCCAGCTACTTGGGAGGCTGATGTGCGAGGATCATCTGAGACCAGGAGGCTTTTTTTTTATTTTGGCATCTAAAAAAAGAAAAAAAAACCCAAAACTAAAAATAGAACTACCATATGATCCCAGCAATCCCATTGCTAGGTATATACTTAAAAAGCAAGGGAATCAGTAAATTGAAGAGATATCTGCCTTCTCATGTTTATTGCAGCACTCTTCACAATAGCCAAAATGTAAAATCAACCTATTTGTACACCAACAAATGCACAAAGAAAATGTACCTATACACAATGGAATACAGTCCAGTCATAAAAAAGAATGAGATCTTGTTATTTGCAATGGCATGGATGGATATACATTTTCTCATCAGAAACTTCAAAATTACCAGCTCACTTCTTTCTTTCCCCTCTGTCCGTGCTCACAATCTATCTACTTTGTGAAAGATTTCTACATCTGCAGTCATGATTCTTCCCACTCCACATTTTTTATGGATTACTACCACCACATCTCTGCTCTTGTTTTAGCAATAGTATCTTACATCTATAATTTCTATTTCTTCACCTCTTTCTACTTCCCCTCTGGCTAGAAACATGATCTGAAATAAAAGCAAAATCATGCTGTCCTCTGAGCCTGTTATGTCTTAACTGCTCCCCAGCGGCTCCTTTCCAATTCCTATATAGGAAAAAAGTCTGTAACATTGCCACTCAAGAGTGTGGCTCAAGGATCAGCAGTGTCAGCATCGCCTGAGAACTTAATAGAAATGCAGAATCCCAGGCCTGCTGAATCAGAATATGCATTTTAACAAGGCCCCCAGATGATATATTGAAGTGTGAGAAGTTCTGTTCTACACTCACTGTATATGACTTTAAATTGTATACAGGCATAGATGACCACACATGCTTATATTCACCTATGGTAGACAAAACATAGAACTGCCTGGTCAGGTTCTTCCATCAATGAGGAAGACAGGAAGAATTAAAAATTTTGCTCCAATTCTCCGACAAGTTTTGGTGCTAGAAGCCCACTATATCTTCTTCCCACTTTTCTAAAACCTTTTTCTTCCTTTTACTTGAGACGGAGTCTCGTGCTGTCGCCCAGACTGGACTTCTCACTGCAAGCTTCACCTCTCGGGTTCATGCCATTCTCCTGCCTGGGTCTCCAAAAGTGCTGGGATTACAGGCGTGAGCCACCGTGCCCGGCCCCCTTTTCTTCCTTTTTCTAAGGAATTATTCTATTTTGCCACGTTCTATGTACCTTCTTTTTCCTTCATTTACCCCTGCACTCACTGCCTTTCTCATTCTTCATTCCCTCTTCTCTCCTTTCTTCTTATTTCCTGACTTTCCTCATATCTTAGAATACCTTGAAATGCAGCTATTAATTCAGCTCCTTTAGTGGCACTCTCAATTTACTCTCCTGTGGATGTGTGTTAATATATAAAATGTATCACCTTTTCACTTTTCTTTTTTCTTACTGTGCATTTAGTAAGTGACCTTCCTTTGCTTGTTGTAATACGTAAGTGATGGTGTTTTCAAGTAAACATTATGTGAAATGCATTTTAAAAAAATACAATTATTACCATCTACATTTCCATTTACTGCATTTTTCCTCTGCTGATCAGCAGGTCCAGATGAATGACCACCATGCTTCTGGAGAAGATTCTTGGAGATACTCTGTTAAAATTAATATCAACAATGAGTTTCAATATAAAATAACAATAATAGTTGCACAAAAATGTCCTAATTACTCATTTTAAAAATCCAAATGTCGCCGGGCACAGTGATCAAGCCTGTAATCAAGCCACTTGGGAAGGACCGAGACGGCGCGGATCACGAGATCACAAGAGACATCAAGACCATCCTGCGCTAACAAACAGGTGAAACCACTGTCTCCTGACCAAACAACTACAAAATCCAATCTAAGCTGGCGCAGGTGGGGCGGCGCGCCTGCTAGTCCAGCTAACTCCAAGGAGCTGACCGCAAT